AAGAACAATCTAGAAGGTATTATGGAAAGACATACCTAAGACAGTAGGAGGAATGCTAATTCATTTCAAGTGCAAAAAAGACTTTGAAATAAACCTTTTGGAAAGTATTGTTTGAGTAAAATTTATTATACATTGTTTCTTGGACGATACTGATTTAATTCCTTTTCTTTTTGATAACTCAGATTTATCACTATGACCACATCCTTAGGAGCTATTATGATTAATAGTTGTGTATCTGTAAAATAATTCACTTAATAGTTAACAAATACCTACTGAATGACTTCAGTGTGCAGGTATTGGATTGGGCACTGTGGAGATGTGTGTGTGTGTGTGTGTGTGTGTGTCCATACATACATACTGCATATACAATATTGGACAACAACAAAAAATGGCATGTAGTCTCTGTCCTCGTAGCCTTGTGATCTAGGGCAACTTTATAAATCATCATTAAAATGAGGACATTCTGCTTCCTGGCTTGTTGTGAGGATCAAGTGACATAACAGTTGTGGTATTTTATTTATTTGTTTACTTGTTTATCACCTGTCTTCCTGGATGAAAATGTAAACTTCATAAGAGTAGGACATTTTTTTGTCCATTGTATTAATTGCTATTTTCCTACCATCTAATCAGTAAGAGTCACATCATGAACATGAATAAATATTTGTTGAGTGAATGAAATATCTTTCAGGATTTCTTATAGGTAATTAGCATTCCATATTTGTTTCTTCCTCATGGATTGATATTTTAGTTGTTGTTCTCATGGTTGTTTCCTGCAGTTCTGCTTCTTCTCATCTAGTTTAATTCTGGATAAGAAAATTAGATGGCCAAAGTGGTAGGTGTATTAGTATAGTTAAGAGACATTCTCTAGTAAGAGAGAAGCCCTCTCTGAATAGCAACCAGAATGAGCTTTCATGCATGGGCTTACTGAGATATTTTTTAGGATATTTAAAAGGCTTTCACAATTCCAGCTGTATTCTGTATAGTTGAGATTGCTAAATAAGTAATCTCATAAGTGAAGTTCATTTAATAAAGCCCATATAGTCTAGCCTTATATCACATTCTATTGTAGTTTTTGTGTATAAGTAGGTTAGAAGAAATTTATGTGTTGAATTTTTAAAGTTTGGCCACCTATTCTGTATATTATTTGTTTAGTGAACCACTTAGAATTTACTGTTTAATATAATTTCTAAAAGTATTTAAGGTTAGTTTGTTAATATCCTAATGGTACTTTCTCACAATGCTAAAGTAAATTCACTTTGTTAATTGTTTTACAGGGCACCTGTTTGTCCACTTGCTATTTACTGATTCCCAACCCCCATTTATTTAGAGGCAGTATCTCTCAGAAGTCAGAATCTTTTTTTTAAAGCTTTGTTAATCTTGGCAGCAGTCACCAGGATGAGTCGCCAGGAATGCTTCATCTGAACAAATTAAGTCTTCAAACAAATGAAGCTTTATACTTTATCATCATAGAGATAGTTATTGGTTTTTAGATCTTGTACTCTAAAATGAAGATAAAATGTTGTAAATGAATTCTTGTTTACCCCATGGGGCATTACTCTGAGAAAGCGAATTTCTACTTGAAATAATGTCTTGATTTTTATTGTTGTTGATGTTTGTTTTGCTTTATGAGTCCCAGAATATGATATGAAATTAAATCTGAGCAAATCACTGCCATGCTATTTGTTTCCACTAATGGCAATTATCTCATGAAATGCAGTCATTGTTTCTAATTAGGGATGCTAATTGAAAAACTGGCAAATTAATCACATATCAGGTAATTCTCTTACCCACATAAGATTTTAAAGTCACTTCTCAGATATAAGAAAATATTGTTAACAGTATATTCCAGGCTGATGTGTTCAACATAATTTTAGGTGACTATAAATGACATACCATATCAGCTAGATATACACGACATCAGTAAGGAAATAAAACTCCCCCTGCTGTATTTTTAAAGTAATGGCCATAGAAATTATTTTCTTTTGTAAAAATTTGCTTTCCCTTTTTACTTCTATTAATATAACACTAAAACCTAATGTTATAGGGGTTATTTAAATAAATTGTTTAAATGTAACAATGAAAAATTATGTGTAACATGCTTATATTAGAATGTTAAGGAGGAAAATCAGGATAACAAACCCTTTGTACAGTATGATTTTATATTTCGAAGAGACTTGAAGTCTATTAACAAAAATTTTATTGAAAGCTATGTTTGTATTTATAAGGTGATGGGATTTTGAAAAATATTTTAATTTGCATGTTTTTAAAATTTTTAGTTTACAGATTTTCTTTTAAAATGAAAAAACAGTAATTGGTAAAACAGAGTCCAAATTTCCAACTATGCAAATCTCATATGTCGGAAAGCAGAGTGGTGGGTCGTGGGTATCTGTGTAGAGGAGTGTGTGGGGAACTGGGGTCAGGTCTGTCCGAATCTCTTTGAGAATGCACATTCTAATTCTCTTCTCCATGATTGATTTCTGCTTTTTCTTAAGTATGTTTAAATATGAGGCCGGGTAAATGTGGGGAGAATGTTAAACCACTGGTCTAAAATAGTATTTTTGAATTCTGTGTTTAATATTTATTCTCTTCTATTCATTGAAATTAAAAATAACTTTGTGAAACCTTTCCTATGCTTTTATGGTTCTAGCATTCTAAATTTATAGCCAGGTCCAAAAGTTTCTTTTTTACTAAAGGTATTTGAGCAGAACATCATGATATTTACTCTAGTCCTTCTAAGAACACAGTTTGGTTTAAGGAAAGGTTATTTAATATTTAAATAATTTACTACAAAACATTTTAGCTTTGTTTAAAAAAAGTTTAAAATTAGACTCCTTCCACATCTATCCACCATTACTACCACCATCTGTTCACCATTACTGTCACCACCAAGATGACACCAAGAAGTGAATATATATCCCCATATGCCAATATCTTTAGGTTGTTTTATTTATTAATGATGATATAAGCACATACTATTTGCAGAAATTGATTTTGGTAGTGATTTATAGTAAAATGTCAAGTAAAAGATTAATTAACTCACTTCTGGGCCTTAGGTCCTATAGTAACCAGAGTATAGAAATAGATCGTTTAAAAAGTTCACTTGAAATTTTCTATTTATACTCTGTAAAAGTAGATTCAATGCCTGTTGTTGTCATCCAGATTTTCCAGGATCATAATAGAAAACCAGTGCTTTCAGAAAGTCATTAAATGATTTAGAGAAATTAAACAGTGTTAATAAAACATGAAGTCAGGGCTTTGTGATTATATTTTTAGATAAAACTCCCAGATTTTTTTTTAGATTTGCTTAATGCCTTTTCTTTTACAAATGAAAACATCATGTAGCTCTCATCTGCTTATTTTTATAAATTTATCATTTGATTATAAGATAAAATAAGATACATTATATCTTACTATCAACAACTAACTTATGTAAACCAAAGAGTTAAAGATTTACAATGGAACTCAAGGCAGTGTAAATATATATATCTTTCTAAAATAACAGGACCTTCTGATAGGAGGTAAACAAAACAGATAGTATCTGTACTACTTAAAGGGAGACTGATATTAATCAAATACTTACACAAATAACTGTAAAATTGTCACCATAGAAAATGCTATGAAGGAAGGGTGAACATGCTATCAGAGCTCAAAAAGTGATTTGACCTAGTATTTGGAGACTGGCAAAGGTTTAAAGGCTTCCTTGAGGGATTTACTTTTGAACTGAGACTCAAATGATTATTGGAAATTAAGTAGGTGAAGGAGGATGTGAGACAATTCTAGGAAGCAGGAATGACTATTATATGATAGAGAGTGTGAGTCACTGGAAGTGAAATGAGGCTGTATGGCTGGAACAGTGGGAACAAGAGGAAATGTGATGCTAGATGGGACAGGGGAATGATGGCAGAGGCCAGACCCATTAGGGCCTTTTACATTGAGGATTGTTGTCTCAAGAGCAGTGGGAAGGTTTTGAGAGATTCTGAGCAGTGTGGGCATGAAAGGAAAAGGCATGGCAGGATCAGACTTATCTTCCAAAAGGATTGCTATAGAAGGTACTAGAGGGGAAAAGTATGCATAAGGGGAGACCAATGGTAGTGCTATAGAAAAGCCGTATCTCACATTTACCATTAAATATTGATTCTATTTGAACCAAATAGCACATTTAGAACTTACATGCTGATTAGAATATATATTACATATAGCAAATTGACTTGTTCATTTTAGAATACTAAATGAAGTAGCTTTTGTCTATATAAGTTAATGTTGAAATTGGTACACTGTAGTGACTGAAATCCTTAATTATTTTATATATAATGTACTGGATTAAATGAAGTTAAATTTACATGGCAATAAGCATTGACTTTCTCCAGATGTTCTGATGTTTTAAAATATTTAAATATAGTGTTTAAAAATAATATGAATAATAATTATAAATTTAATATGCTTTTTCATATGCAGTTTGTGACCTTTTTATTATTCTATAGTTGTGATTTCTGTATCATAAGTTTTAAAAATTTCCAAAATACAGTAAGATTGTCTCTTTTTTCCAAAATTCACTAAAACAGTATATGCAGCGCTTAAGAGCAACTAACAATGCAGTGATGAGCCTGGCTCTGTTTTAAACCTATAATCCTATGTAATTTCACCCACATGCAAAAAAAAAATAATAATTTAAATAGTTACAACACTGTATAGTATACGTGAATTACTGAGTTACAGTGAACACTTACATTGTACTGGTGAACTCATGTGAGCATCTTTAAGCTACGGGACATTTGTTTTGCAGGAGAAAATAGAGGTAAAAATTATTTCTATAAATTGAATATGTAATTCCTCATTAATATCAATTCTTTCACCAATTTATACCACAAAGTTGGCTAAAATAAATACTCTTGTGTCATAATAGATTAAGGCAATTTACATTTAGTTTTCTTTGTCTTTTTTGTTTGTTTGTTTGTTTTGTTTTATTCCCTCCACTCCCCAATTACTTCATGGCATTTCAGTACTTCAGAGAATTTAGATGAGCTCTCTTCCTCAAGTAGCTGGTTACTTAACCAGAAGCACAGTAAGAAAAGGAAAAAAGACAGGACAAGATTGAAATCTCCATCCTTGACTCTCATGAGTACAGCAGCTCGAACAAGGCCACTTCAGAGTTTCCACAAACGAAAACTCTACAGATTGAGCCCCACTTTTTATTGGACTCCGCAGGTAAGGTTGCCTTTGGGAAACATGCACAGAGATTTTATTATGAATGTATTTTATGTAAATAAGATATGGGTTGTACACTGTTATGTAGAATAATTACATCTAAAAAGCTTTAAATATATCATTTATAACTGATATAGGTATCGATAGTGTATTAGTGGGATTTAGTAATTTATTAAACATTAGCAGTATATTCTGAAATTTCTCACATCTCCATTTTTTTAATCCACTACTATACTTAAAATAATTTGAGGGAAAATTCCATATCAAGGTGATTTTTAAAATTTTACTGGTAAGGAAAACACAAATGTTCTGCACATTTGTCTTTGATTAGTAAAGACAAAAGTAAAAATCTTCACAGCTACCAGTTATTTTAGAGGAAATGGCATTATTTTTCCATTTCAGGTTTGGCATTTGCTAATCCTGGTGAGCATTCAGAATTTTTTTTCTAGCTTGAATTTTACACCTCCATACTTAACACTTTTTACAAATAAAATACATTTCATAAAGAGCACTCATTTTGAAAAGCATATTTATTGCTTGTTAGCAAAATGTTAGCCAGATATCTTTAGTGCATACCTAAACAAACTGTGATGAAGGGCAAAGTAAGTTTTCTCTAGTTCTATTTCTATAATAACTACATTAAGTATTTCAAATATATTGCATCAATATCAAGATGCTTTATTTCATTAGTAACCAGTTGTAAGTATGGTTTTATAGGATCCAATTAGACATAGGAATGTGGATTCAGACAAACTGGTTTTTATTAATAGATTGATTTTTTTCCACTTAGTAGTTCAGATATTACTAGTATAATATATTTCACTGACTTGAAAATATTTTTTAAATTAAGTTTCATTTCAGAATTTACCAAAAGAGAAATATTTTTATTTAATAATTTTATATGTGAAACCATATTTAATGGTTTTTGTTTAAAGTTGCTATAAGGAATAGAGAAATAATATTTTTGAAATTGATTTTGTAATTTTATAGTCATAAATATTGTCATTCTAAAATATCTTACATGTGAATATGTCATAATTTGCAGACTGCGAGGAATCTTCTTGAATAATTTAGGGGATTTGCTAGGTGTTACTAACATACTATATACATGCCTTGATAATTTAAAGATTGGCCAGGAAAGATGTGAAAAAATCTAGAAGTTTCAGCAAAAAAGGGAAGGAACAATTGTAAAATTATCATTATTAGTAAACCATATAATTTATTGTATTCCAGTCACAGTACTAAGTATTTTCAGTAAATTGTTTTATTTAATCCTCAAACATAAAAATATAAATCAATTATTATTAATCCTACCTTTAGATGCAGAAATAGAAATTTAGGTAGACTAAGTAGCTTTCCCAAGGTCACACAGCTATTAAGCAAGTCTGATTGCAAAGCTTATGTTCTTAGATTCTTAGAAACCATTACATTGATAACACCAAAAATAAACCAGATCTCTGTGTGCTTGAAATCAGTAAAGATAGTATATTTTGGGGTTTGGGAGGGAACTTTGGTCAAAAGTATTAAGAAATGTATAATAAAAGATTGGCTTTGAAAGATAAACAGAATTTTGAAAAAGTATGGGAGAGATAAAGCATTTTAAATGAATACTTGGAACAGATGAAAAAACTTATGGATAATAGCAAATGCCCCAACCCCCAAATTATCCTTATTTCTCTCAGGAAGCCTTCCTTGGCATACATATTGATGTATATATATTGATGTATTATAATAATATATCACTTTACAATAACCATTTATTTCTCTTACTACATTTAATTTTTATATATTTTTTAATATTTTATTTTTTACTATATTCTACATTTTAATTTTTAAGTATAATTTTGATTATATTATTATAGTGGTCCCAATTTTTCCCCTGTTGGCCCTCCTCCTCCTGGCACTACCTTCCCTCCAGCAATCCCCCTCTTAGTTCATGTCCATGGGTCAGGCATGTAAGTTCTTTAGCTTCTCCATTTCCTATGCTATCCTTAACATCCCCCTATCTATTTTCTACCAACCAATTTGTACTTCTTATCCATGCATTATTTTCCCCTCTTTTCCCCTTTCCCCCTCCCAGCTGATAACCCTCTGAATGATCTCCACATGTATAGATTCTGTTCCTGTTCTGCTTCTTTATTTTATCTTTTAGATTCAGTGGTTGATGGTTGTGAATTTGTTGCCATTTTAATGTTCATAGTTTTGATCTTCTTTTTTGTATAGAGTTCCCTTTAATATTTCATATAATAATGACTTGGTGATAATGAACTGCTTTAGTTTTACCTTGTCTGGGAAACTTTTATCTGCCCTTCACTTCTTAATGATAGCTTTGCTGGAGTTATCTCAGATATAAGTCCTTGCTTTCTTGTTAATGTTGAGTACGTCTTGCCAGTCCCTTCTTGCCTGCAAACTTTCTTTTGAGAAATCAGCTGACAGTTGTATGGCAACTCCTTTGTAGGTAAAACACTGTTTTTCTCTTGCTGGTTTTAAGATTCTCTCTTTATCTTTAACTTTTGGCATTTTAATTATGATGTGTCCTTTTTGGGTCCAACTTATTTGGGACTTGGTGTTTCTTGGACTTGTTTGTTTACTTCCATTGCCAAATTAGGAAACTTTCATTTTTTCAGTAAGTTTCCAATGTCTTGCTCTTCCTCTTCTCCTTCTGGCACCCCTATGATTTGGATGTCGGTGTGTTTGGAGATGTCCCAGAGTGTTCTTATACTACCTTCATTTTTTTTAAAATTCTTGTTTTTTCTTTTTGTTCTGGTTGAATGTTTATTTCTTTCCTATGTTATAAGTTGTTGATTTGAATCCTGGCTTCCTTCCCTTCACTGTTGGTCCTGTAGATTTTTCTTTATTTAATTTAGTATACTTTCATTTCTTCTTTCTGTTGTTGCCATACTCAATGAGTTCTTTGAGCATCCTGATCACACCATTGTTTTGAACTCTGCATCTGATAGGTTGCTTATCTCTGTTTCATTTAATTCTTTTTCAGGGGCTTTGTTCTGTTCTTTAATTTGGGCCGTATTTCTTTGTCTTCTCAATTTGGCAGCCTCCCTGTGTTTGTTTCCATGTACTCAGTAGACTGCTGTGACTCCTTTTATAGGGCGACTGTAAATTGTGTGGGGCAGAGCCTTAGATAATCACCAGGGTGGGGCAATTTGCTTCGTACGCTATGTGAGGGGGGTGGGTTGGAGAGGAGACAGTGCTGCTGCCTGGCTTCTGGAGGTTTGCGTGGCATTCATCTCATTTCCAGTTACTTGACCCACTCCCTGTATGCGCCTGTCACCCTTTCAGCTGTTGCTGGATTCAGCACTCTGGTGTTGAATACCAGAGTAGGTGGGTTTGTATAAGTTTTAAGACTGTGCAGGCTCTTTAAGCACAGTTTCCTGAAAATCTGGCAGTTTTATCTGCCACCCCTACCCCCACTGGTTTTTACATCCAGAGGTAATGGGATTTATCTACTTGGTGCTAGAACCCTGGACTGTGCAGTCTGGCCTGAGGCTGGGATCACTCCCTCCCAAGGGATCGCTCCCAATATTTATCCACCACAGTGAATGTAGCCTGCCCGCGCCCATTCTGCCACTGCCACCTCTCCGTGCCACACCGTCGTGGCTCCTCGCCTCTCCACCCCATCCTCACAGCTCTCACCTTCCTACCTGTTTTGATGAATGCGGCTTCTTTAAATTCTTGGTTGTTGGATCCCATACAGTTTGATTTTTCTGACAGTTCTGGGTGTTATTTATTTTAAGATTTAGTTGTAATTCTTTTTGTGGTTGTATTCAGAGTTGAAGTGTGTCTACCTCTGCCTTCATCTTGACTAGAAATCCACATTTATTTTTTTGGAGAACAGGGAATTACATTTCTAAATCTACAGGGCCTTGAACAGTAACTGTCCAATAGTATGTCCTCAACAAATAATTGTTTAATAATGAGAAACAATTAATGTAGTAGAACATAGCAAGATTTTTAAAATGTAATGGAGAGTGAGAACTTGTGTGTGTGTGTGTCTGTGTATATGTGTTGCCTAAATTTGCCTTGTGAAAGGCAAATTTGCCCTGTGAAATTTGCTTTGTATCTGGAATAGTAATGTGTAATAGAACTTCTCTGTAATGCTGGAAATGCTGTATAAACATTTGTGCTGACTCATAGGGCACATGTGTGCCCTATTAACTATACAGAGTTATTTGCAGCTGTACTAGCCATATGAAATGTGGCTAGTACAGAATTTTAAATTTATTTTTATTAGTTTTTATTTAAATAGCCACATGTGCATAATGGCTACCAAATTGGATATGACAGGTCAAGACTCAAACTACTGTAGTAGCAGTGAATACACCTGGCACTGACACCATTCCCTACTGGAAGGAAGAGGGATCTCTGGAGAAATGATTTCCAGGGCCAGGAAAAAGGAGATACTAGATGAGCCTGGCACATCTTAATGTTACCAGAAAAGAGGAAAGCTCAAAAATTAATGCTGGGTGCATAACAAAAGTATAGGAGCTGGTTTGCAGAAGCTTTCACTGATCAAATCTGGGACTATTGGAGCATCCAGATAACTAAGGACAGTAATGAACCACTGAAAAAGTAGGAAACCATTAGTCTATACTATTGAGAGTGAGAAACTGATCAAAAGGGGACTGGGTGAACTTTAACATACAATAGAATGCTGATTAATAAATGTGGAGTAAGTAGTGAAATTAGAAAATCATTGCAATAATCATATTAAAGACTGATTGGGCAAGCACCATAAGTAGGTAAAAAATCTGGCATCAGGACTGAGAAATTTGATGAGGATCCAGGTATTTGTATGGTCTTAACCATACAAATGGTAGAGATCCAGGTAATAACCTCACCTGAATGATCAAAACTAAGGACACAGTATTGCTATGTAGTATTCTGACCAGGGATATAACCTGCACTAAGTCATGAGAAAACATCAGACAAAGCCAAAATCAGACAAATGCTATTAAAAAATGACAACTGGCCTGTATTTAAAA